CAGCATCCTTAACCACCATGCCACCTGCCGCCCCCATCCCAATGATTTTTTTTTAAACACACATATGAGGAGACTTCAAAAAGTTCATGGAGGATAATGGAATTAAAGTACGAGTTTATTTTGGTGGAACACTATAAATCCATTCATAGTTTTTCCATGATACACATTTTTCTTGAGCTTTTCCAAAACTCATACATTTGTGAAAGGGAGAGGAAAGTAATCAAAGAAAACTTAAATATGTTAGTTACAGACCATGTGTACATAAAACTCAAGCCTAACTCTGGCCAATATCTGTGGTCACATGAGACTAATTAGTCAAGAATAAATTATTTCTGTTTAGCATTATAAAGTGATTGTTTTTATGATTTCAGTGCATGCTTCTGACTTCATAATAGCCACTAATAAACTAAACCACTTAGGGAGTTTACAAGGGAATTTGTTTTCTATTTCATAAAAGAGACTATGGTAATAACTAATTAAAGCATAAGCTTTTTGTTAGTGAAAGGAATAATTAAGCTTACGAATAGAAGACCAGACAGAAGCATAAATCATTCCTTTGCCAGGTGTGTTTTGTTGTTGTTTTCCTTTTTAATTTCCTGGAATGGGAAAAACTAAATGTAGAAATCATATCATAGTCACTTCTGAAGTATGTACTCCTCTTTTATAAAAATTCACTTATCCAACCATTCTTCATTCACCCAGTGCTGATAACAAGAATTTTTAAATTTCCCAAGTTAAACTTCAGTAATAAGAACCTTTTTTTTCACTATATTTTTGCACATCAAAATTATTAACATACTGATTTTCAAAAAAAAAGATTGCATTTCATCTTAGAAGTCCTACTGTGAAGTCCTACCTCAGCAAGCACTGGTTAAGATGAGACTTTTGAACATTACACACTTAAAACCTCTGAGCTCACTTGCCTGCCCTCTCACTGACCTTGCTTCCTCCCACTTGTGGCCAGAAAACTCAAGATAGTAAATAAAGAGTTGGGAGATCTCGGGATATGGGGAAAAGCTTCATATGAAAAACAGTTATTCATTTGGCCATTTGTACTATCAGATATTGCTCTTTTGAAATCTAATCTCCTGACTTCAACAAGAGAGAACATATTTTATCACGCGGAGTGTGCACTAGAGAAATTAAGATCACTGCCCAAAGACAGCACCCCTTAAAAACCAAATTGTTTTTAATTGGTGTGAACTTGATAAAGACCTGAGGATAGAAGTTTGGGAAATAAGCCAGTGAGGCTGTTTTACATTTAATAAGATTCTCATTTGGGAGACAGAAAGGAGATGTTTATTATTTTTGCTATTAATGCTAAATTTCCAGATAGTCAGAGATACATACATGCATGCATATATACCTGTATACTTGCTTATTTTATATTTAAAGATTTTTCAGTAGACATGTTGCTCTAAAATAGACCAGTTTCATCCACTGCCACAAGTTCAAGGGGCTTCGGCAGCACTCCCTTACTACTCTGTACACTCTTGGTGTGTCTTCCTGCTTCTGGAAAGAAGCCAAATGCAAAGTCACTCACGTTCTAGGCAAGGAGAGCTGAGGGCCCCGTTTCTGTACCATTTATATTCCAACTTCATCTGAAATTCACTTTGGAAGATAAAACACAAGCAAATCAAGCTGGCTACTTGTCATTTTATTATAAACATATATGTAGAAAAAGATGGAAACAAAGATAAGTTTGGGGAAGTGTATTCGGGCATTACCTATGCATCTCAATGTATCTGGAACCGCTACCAAATGTTAATTCTGTAGCAGAGGTCAGAAAACTACAGTTCACAAGCTGAATCTACACCCTTCCATCATGATCTCACCCCCAAACCCATTTTTGTAACTACAGTTGTATTGGCGCACAGCCACACTCACTTGCTTAGGTATTTCACACTACAGTGGCAGAGTTAAGTAGTTGCAACAGATACCGTATGGCCTGCAAAATCTAAAATATCTGTTATCTGTCCCTTTCCAAGACTTTGTGGACCCTTGTTCTGCTGAAATAATCACTGAAGGGGGTTACTGGAGGTGACAGAACAGTAATCTTTACCTCATAGGAAAGACTAATAGGGTGCAGTTTTGGTTTTATTTTGAGTCAGTTTTTTGACTTGAAAATAAAATTTGGTGCCACGTTATTAAAGAAGCATTATTCATTATACTGTTCTCAAGTTTGACTAATCACTCGCTTTCATGTCTTTCTAATATACAAAGTAATTTAATGTGCATTTTCCTTTAGGTCTTCATGTGTGTTGTTAAACCCAGTATTTGTGTATTTGTTATGATTCTTGTTCCTGGAAAAAGGCAGGCATCCGTGAATGTGTAATAAGAGGGTTAAAATGATTTTGATGGTGGATTTTTATTTTATATTTTCAAAAATTTCCTACAGTTGGCATTATTTAAACAGAGAAAACTTTTTAATCTTTTAGGAAACTGTTTTCCTTTAAGGTTTTTAGGTGTCAGGAGATAGAGTAAAGAAGTCAAAAACAATGGGACCAGCAGATGGCATAATGGCTACGTCGCTGGACTCCCATGTAGTTGACCACAGTTCAAGTCCCAGACCGAGTGACTTAAACTCACACTGGGTGCGTGTGCATGTGTGTCCAAGATCCAGAGGGGAGAATAGAGGAGAAGGGATTGCGGCACGGTCAACCCCCCTGGGGGGTCATTTCTCACTTTCTTTCTCTCTGTCTTTCTGGCGAGCGCATGTGCCTTATAGCAAAAAAAAAAACCTCTCCAAAAAGAAAAAAAGAAGTCAAAAACAAGAAAGGGAGATGAAGCCAGGTCTGGGACTCAAACCGTGGTCGGCCAATGTGGGAGTCCAACGCCCTTAACCACTACACCACCTGCCGCCCCTGTAATGAGAATTTCTTGGAAATAATTCTGGGTGGCCATTCCATCCTCTTCTGCTTTCCTGACAGGGTCATATGGTGACGTTTGTTCTCTCGTAGTGGAACTGCTCTTCAAAGGTAGCAGGGGTCTGGCTTTGAGGCTCCTTTACTGCCTGCTCTGTGCTACTCTGGAGGAAGTCCCCCTCCTGGCCAAATCACCTCTGCTGCTCACAGAACCTGGGCTCAGGCCCAGGAAACATCTTTGTTGTGTTCCTTCAGTTCGAAAACTTGGATGGGTTTGCCGTTAGAATTTCAATTTTCCTGAACTAGATATGACCCATTTGCACTTGCTAAGATTTAATGCTATAACCTGCTTATCAGTTCTTTCCTTTTCTGCCAAAGTCAAGATTAAGGAGCCAGGTTTGCATGCCTCCTCAGCAAGACTCCCTGTGAGAAAGCAATAGGATCATGGGAAAAAATTTTTTTAATTATCTCAAAATTCTCCAAATTGTTACACTAACTTTTTGAAAATGCTAGTGGTTCCCTCTGGGCTTTTTTCCCCTAGGCCCCTCTCAAGGTCATTGCAGTTACAGCCATGGTTGATGATGGGGGAAGGGAACTTATTTTAGAATTAGGATATTTTCCGACATTCTAGAGAAACTCAGAAGAAAAAAACAAGTTCTTAAGAGTGTGGCTTCTTTCACAGGGTGGGGTGTGAGGGATGTTGCACAAACTTGCATGAGTGCAGAACCTCTCATTTACTGTGACATGCCTGTGGATTTAAATTTGTAGCATGCCTTTTCTCTATGATATAAAAAGAGTTAGAGTTCAGACTAATTCAAAGAATGTGTGAGGAACAGGACTTTGTGCCCCTCTTGGAAGCTCACACACAAAAAACCTTTTATGCATATAAATAAACCTTGGGATGCATATTGAGCAGAAAAACAAGGAAAATTACAGAATATGAGAATCAAACTAAAAAAAAAAAAAAAAACTTTGTTGTGTTCCTTCAGTTCGAAAACTTGGATGGGTTTGCCGTTAGAATTTCAATTTTCCTGAACTAGATATGACCCATTTGCACTTGCTAAGATTTAATGCTATAACCTGCTTATCAGTTCTTTCCTTTTCTGCCAAAGTCAAGATTAAGGAGCCAGGTTTGCATGCCTCCTCAGCAAGACTCCCTGTGAGAAAGCAATAGGATCATGGGAAAAAATTTTTTTAATTATCTCAAAATTCTCCAAATTGTTACACTAACTTTTTGAAAATGCTAGTGGTTCCCTCTGGGCTTTTTTCCCCTAGGCCCCTCTCAAGGTCATTGCAGTTACAGCCATGGTTGATGATGGGGGAAGGGAACTTATTTTAGAATTAGGATATTTTCCGACATTCTAGAGAAACTCAGAAGAAAAAAACAAGTTCTTAAGAGTGTGGCTTCTTTCACAGGGTGGGGTGTGAGGGATGTTGCACAAACTTGCATGAGTGCAGAACCTCTCATTTACTGTGACATGCCTGTGGATTTAAATTTGTAGCATGCCTTTTCTCTATGATATAAAAAGAGTTAGAGTTCAGACTAATTCAAAGAATGTGTGAGGAACAGGACTTTGTGCCCCTCTTGGAAGCTCACACACAAAAAACCTTTTATGCATATAAATAAACCTTGGGATGCATATTGAGCAGAAAAACAAGGAAAATTACAGAATATGAGATTCAGACTAAAAAAAAAAAAAAAACCATTTCCTTAAATATCTCCAAGGGCTTATTTTGTTATAGTTTTAGTATCAGTATTAGTCTGCTTTAAGAATAGCCAGCATCTTGCAAGAAGCACAAGTGCTGGGATTTAGAGTAAGGAAAAGAAACCGATTCCCTTCTCTGAAGAGCTAGCAAAGTAGATGCAAAACAGGGAGTAAGCAGGTGGTCCCTGGCTGGAATGTCTTGCAGCTGGGAGTTCATATGACACTCAAGAAGCAAGTCATCCAGAAACAGTGGCACTTGAGCTCATGAACTAAACAGAAGCTCCAGCCATAGGACAGGGTGGAAACACCCTGAGCATACCCTGGCCCAGCTCTGGACAATGGAGGCAGGTGGGATGCAGGCCCTCACCACCCTCATGGGCTCCCTCCTGGGGCTGCTCATCCTGTCCTCTTGTCTGCTTGCTGACTACAGGTTCATCCCAGAGGCCTGGTCGGCCTGCACGGTCACCTGCGGTGTGGGGACCCAGGTGCGAATAGTCAGGTGCCAGGTGCTCCTGTCTTTCTCTCAGTCCGTGGCTGACCTGCCCATTGATGAGTGTGAAGGGCCCAAGCCGGCATCCCAACGTGCCTGTTACGCAGGACCATGCAACGGGGAAATTCCTGAGTTTAATCCGGATGAGGCTGCTGGGCTCCTCGGTGGCCTGCAGGATTTCGACAAGCTGTACGACTGGGAGTATGAAGGGTTCACCAAGTGCTCCGAGTCATGTGGAGGAGGTAAGAAGGGGCTCTGGCTCAGATGCCTGCCATCTTCTTGTACTTTTCCTGTCTCTTCTCTTCCTGCATGCAGCTGCGTCATGTGATTGCCTCTAGTCCAAGAATGATAAGCGGGAGGCGGCAAGAGGCAAGTAGTCTGAATGTAAAGCACTCTGAATGAAACACAGATGTATTTCTCTTTTGGCTTGAATGGCTCTGACTGTCAGCTCTAGGTAGCCAACCGAGTAATGCCTTTGTTTTCAGTTGTTACTCTGATGATTTGCAATATATTGTGGTCTGTCTGATGCAGAGGCATAGTCGCACTCACCTGGCAATGCTCTCCACCTTCAGTTTTATTTATCTGTGCCCTTGCCTCAGTGCATGTGATGTGAACCGAAACCCAACATGACAACACCTTCTGCTCTTCCCAAGAATAGGTTAGCATCCCTCCAATTTACTCAGCTCATTTTGCAAACTGGTTACTTATTTATACAAAAGGAAAGGCTGGGCAAAGAGTACTTAGCACAGCACTTACCTAGAGCTCAGAGTTTAAAGACCAAAGACTGACCCTGCACCCATTTGACAGACAAGGAATACAAGATACAGAAAGAAGCAGAATGATTTATTCAAAATCATAGCTAGTGACAGAGCCGAGACTAGGCTAGAGCCTTTTAATTTCCCTGTCTGGTCTATTTCCATCATACCAAACTTCTTTTAAGTTCACTTATTTATTTCTTCTGAGAGAAACAGCCTGAGAGAGTACTCCTAACAGGATCTCAGTAACATGATCCACTCCCAGCTTCAGCAAACCCCCAATCATGGGCACACATGTGCCCAATGTACTCAGGGAGGTCTCAGGACCCAAATCCTGCAGCGTCCCATGTGGATCAGCCTTGCAGAGTGTTGCATTTTACCACTGTGCCACCTTCTAACTCCCATACTGCACTTTAAGCACCTAGAGAATTCCTGAAGTGTTTTCATTGTGAATATTTTTAAAAGAATTATTTCATTTTATTTATAATTGCTATTTAAAAAAAAAATTGTTATAGGGCATGTGCACTCACCACAGGGGGAGAGAGAGGAAAAGTGAGAAAGCAAGTCACCAGATCCAGGACTGAACCATATAGTCAGCCATGTGGGGGCCTGGAGCCTTCACCACCAAACCTGTTACTGGCCCCGGTCATTGTGAATATTATTTAACTCATGTCAGGTATTTCCAAGTACAGTCATCTGGTTCCCTTAGATATATTCATGGTGAGAGAGCAACAGTTTCAGTGATTCCTTATTTCTTGTCTTGCACGGGATTATAGGGGAAGAACAGAGCATTGAAACCAGCAATTGGTGCTTCAAGATTATGATCGCTCTTACCACTGTAGAAAGTACTTTAGATCTGTGTCAGCACTGTCTCCCACACCTACCTTCAAAAGAGATTTTGCTAGCTGAAGAAGTGCTGACTGATTCCCTGACACACCTCTCCACTGGCTATCAGGAACTCCTTTGAGCCTGTTGAGGTTCTGTATTCTCAGCAGATTCTTACCTAACCAGTGTGAAAAAGTACTAAACGGATTTTCCAAAACTGTTTGGAAACAGTTTGAAAACTCTTTTAGAAGGCATCTTTTGTCTTGATAGAGAATGTAAGAAAAAATGTTCCCACATGTTCACTTGAGGTTGAAAAGGAATGAACAGTGAAACAAGTACTAGCGAAGAATCCATTCTCTCCAGCAGGTCTTTCAGTGAGCGTTTAATAGGCCTGACCTTGAGGTCCTTGTTTGTTTCTATCTCTTCCAGTTTCAAATCCTGGAATTCTGAAGTGTTTTAATGGAGAGCCCTGGTATTTTAAAGGCTGAATTCTTCCAGATAACTTTGGAAGACAGTTTTCTGGAACTCCGCTAATGCAACTACAGTCGTATGTTGCTCTTCACTCACTTTTAGACACCTTTTCTTTCATGCCTAATGAGGGCGGTGTGTTAAATGAGCTTTGGTGATCTCTGAGCAGGAGCTGAGAGGTCAGGTGGGAAGGCCATGACTGGTGGCTATAGTTGCCTCCTTACGATTTAACAAATGACTTAGAATTCAGATGATTGTGGGGTTTTTCCCCTTATATCCATGGTCACCTAAATTGAATAATGAGTATTTCTAGTTTAAAACAAATGTGCTTTGAAAAAAAAAAATTACGGTCTCTCCATTATGGTTCTTAGTTACAAGTCAAGCCTGGAACTTTATGAGCAGATGGAAAAAATAGATGTAGTAATGGAATATATAAATAACCAGATACCTTTATCTTTAAGAGCCTAACCGTTCTGCTGACCAACCCTAGGCATAAAATTTAAAGTGCAGAGTATGTTTGGAATGCATTTTATTTTAAATGTGTTCAGAAGATATTGATTTAGAAATAAGAGATAGATGTTTGATATACAATCACTCTCTACCTATAGGAACTAAATGTTTTAATATCATAAATTGTAGGTCCTTCCTATCTAAAGCAGGCTAAAGTTACTGAAATTTCTTAGATCTTTAAATGTCAACAACTGAGCATACTTATCTACAATTATGTCACTGTGCCAACGTGATAGAAAGATACCTAAAATGTTACAGTTGAAAATTCCAAGGTGGTGAAAATATGCTTGGTTATATGGTCCATGTGATGCTCACATGCAACTAAAAAGTTATTTCAATATATGGGACCCGTATGTTTTCAAGTCATTGTTTCACAATAACATTTTATTGTACTATCAACTTTGATCTTTCACCAAAATATAACCCTCCAGATCGTATGTATTTTTAATCATTGTTGCTAAAGCCAACCAAAAACCTGAGGATTAACAAATAGATTTTAAATCAACGTTGGGTTGTAGGCTGCTCAGGTTAATTTCATTGTTTTTCTACTCTCAAGAGATGAAATTGGATAGACACAAAAGTAACCTCTCACCTCTCAGAGGAAGCAACCAGAAGGAACTAGTTAGTAATTTAGTCTGTTGTTGGTAGCTGTGTTTCCCTGAGCTGTCATCAAATATCATGTAATAATTATACTATTCTGGGAGATATAAACACTAAAAATCCCATTTTCTGGAAGATTGAAAGTGAGCCGAACCTGTTCAGATCTGTGTCCTGTGTCCCACTATCACCTCCTTGTTATATTTTCATTTCCCATATGGAACTAATGGGTTCATTCAGGTTTGGGGCCTGAATGGCTCCCTTACATTGGGATGATAGAGAGTAAAATTCACATTAAAATCTAGCTGAGGGAAAAACTCAAATTGACTTCAGCAAAAATAGGAGATGGAGTTCTGTACCTGTTCCTCCCTTTTTATTATGAATCTTTGCTCCTGTTGCTTCTATCAAGAAAGTAAATCCCAGGGAGCCAGATGAGGAAGCAGCTCTGTGTAAAACACAAGCTCTGTGCAGCTTACCTACATGGGAAGGTTCCAGATTCCCATCCAGAGACCTCCTGAGCACACCAAGCATGCATGTGCCCGTGACCCAGGGCTGGGTGAGGCTGAGGGTGGCTCGTGCCGTCAAGACCTTGTGGGAGGTCTTATCACTCTGGTTCTCTCACTCATGAAAGAAATAAGAAAATAAACTAAAAAAAGAAAAAATAAAAAAAAGAAGAAAGGAAAAGAAGTCTGTAGAGTGCCGCACTTAAATATATATTTCCCGTTGATTTAAAATGTCCTTCTAAAAGCATATTAAAGTCCACGGAAAGACCACAAACTTGGTAAGCTAACTTCTCACATCCTTACATGACTTCCCTGGACCAAGTTTGATGGAACTTCAAATAGTTCACTGAATAATAGGACTGAAGTATGAGTTTATTTTCATGCAAACTTTTTTTAAAAAAAAATCCATCCACAGTTCACCCATAATATGCATTTCCACGAACTTTGTGAAGACTGGTGTATTATAACCTAAAAGATGAGGTCTTCACAGTTATTCCCTCTTGCAAGTTCTCAAATTCCCCATTCCAAGGCTGCTCCCTTACTCCAGGTCCCTCTCCTCCAGGCGTTGCATTCTTGCCTCCCATAGCCTCAATCGCTCACTGTGTTTAGAATGTCCTGCCCTACAGCCATTCCATTTGTTCATTCTACAAAAATGTACTGCGTCCTGACCACAGAGCTGGTCCCAGATACTCCTTACTTATGACAGAACTTCTGTCCTTAGCTCCCCCACCACCCTAGGCCCCACCTAAGAATACTGAGGCAACTGGCCCCTGTGACAGTACAGATTTGACACACAGTGTTGTGAGGACCTATTCCATGGTTTTATGATACCTGAGATTAAGAACCAATGACTCTGAAATGCTTCTTCATCTCAGCACTTAACCTCCCCACAGGCGATTTTTGTCTTTGACTACAATTATTGGTTTAGGGTAATGTGAATTTATGTTTTATGTATCTAATCGAGGTTATTGGTATCCTTTTAGAAAGTTGGCCTTTACTACACCCATTCCCTACAGTCTTAGAAGAGCCCAAATTAGCTGGGACCAACAGATGGCATAATGGTTATGTCGCTGGACTCCCATGTAGTCGAGTGCAGTTTGAGTCCCAGGCCCGGTAGCTTAAAACTCACACCAGGTGCATGTGCTTGTGTGCCCAAAATTCCAAGAGGAGCATGGAGGAGAAGGGATTGCAACGTGGCCATCTCCCCTGGGGGGTGATTTCTCGCCTTCTGTCTCTCTGGCAAGCACACATGCCCTATAGCGAAAATCTCTCTCTCTAAATTAAAAAAAAAAAAAAAAAAAAAAACCTAAATTACATGAATAGGGAGTTCACAAAGTGAAAACACAGGTCACATTACTCACACACAAACCCTCCCACACCTGAAGCAAACACTTCCAAGCAAGGCATGTGACAAGCTCTGTTGTCACTTCCTGTTTCAGGATTGTGCAATTTTATAAGAATTTTTTAGAGCTAAATAAAGCTAAAATATATTTGATTTTAGAGCTCTATTTAGTTTCTTGAATACTACCAAGTAGACAAATTAATTGAAAACTTAATTTCTAACATAACCACAGGTCTAGATTCTGTCTGGAATAGTAAGTTACATCTAATGGCTTCTCATCATTACTTTGATAATGCCAGACTATTCCAGTGGGAAGTATTAGTGATGATATCAACAATTCCTCATGGAGTATTTTCCTAAATCATTATACCATGAATTTCAAATGACTTATCCCAGCTGCAACCAAGAGAACACCCTGTAGTCAGCATTACAGAATATGATGGGATAATTTGAATGTCCAGTATAAATCTCAAATACTCCACCCTGAACTGGCCATGACATATTTAAATTAAATTTTGAAGCTCATTTAAAAAGTTAGAAAAAAAGAAAATCTAAAGAATACTATCATGGCCCTAGGATAAATATTGTGACTGATTTTTTTAAACGTTTGATGTACCAGACTCACAGAAAGAAAGAGGCAATTTGGAGTCTGTTTTTAAATCATCCCTTTTTAAAATGATGGTCTCGCTAAGTGACCTCGGTCATTGTAATGCCAAGGTATGAAGCATTAGCCTGTTGGGGAAACATGGGCTGTAGAGGAGGAAGGCAGCAAAAAGGCTAATAGGTGACGAGTTAGTTGCATACCCTAGGCAGTATTTGATGAGGCAATGCAGAAAATAAAAAATAAGAAACTGTGCATGTGTTTATATGTAACTAGTGATGCGTATAATTGCAGCCTATGCTATAATTGTATACAAATATGTAACTATAGACGGATATCTTTAGATGCAGGTATCTTTATGTAGACAACTATGTATAGCTAAAAAGCAAATTAGCTAGAATGCCTCATCCCTTAAACTGAACTCTACTGAAATGATTCTAGACAAATGTCTAGTTTATTCTTGAAGATCTCCAAGGAAGCAGATAGCACAACCTCATTGTACAGTGTTGTTTTGTTATAATTATTTAACTTTATTTATTTATTCATGTATTTTAATTTTACCAGAGAGAGAAAGAAAGCAAGCAAGCAAGCAAGCCAGCCAGCCATAGGGTCTGGGACTCAAACCATGGTCAGCTATGTGAAAGTCCAGTGCCTCAACCACCACGCCACCTGCTGGCTCCTGTTAATGTTATCAGTAAGGGTAAAATCACCCTCAGCCTTTCCTCTTAGCAACTGTATGACCTTAGGCAAGTCTTTTCACCCTTCTAAGCCTCAGTTTCCTTATCTATAAATGGTGCTTACCTTGGAGTTGAATTAAATGATGGGTATCAAGCTCTTAGTTTTGGTACCTAGATAATAATGGGCACCTTGAGGACACTGGCTCTTATTATAACTGTGGGCTCCAGAAGGAAATGTCTGGCTATTACATTACCCATTTAAATGTTTCTCTGCTCCATGAAAGTCTCCACAGGGATCCTGCAGACCACCTTGGAAGACCTGCCAAATACCCCATGCCAGAGGTTGCTCAAATTCATTTTGTAGTGCTGAGTCAGGAGTGTGGTGTCAATGGAAGATTATTTTCCATGGCTGTAGTTATTATGTATCTTAGTCTCTTTCTTTGTTCCAACTTTCAAAGCTGCTCTGTATCACTAAGGACATGAACCAGAGTCAGAAAGAAACCAGCAAAGGCTGGAGTGCTGGATACAAGGTCCCAAGAGCACAGTAGTTTACAGTGTTGGATATTAAAACGTGGCCTTGGGCCTCCTTTCCAAATATAACAATCTCCTGTTGATTAAAATATAATGTGTGAAGGTCTTGGGATCTTTATTTTTTTGTCACCCTGAACTCCTGCATTAAATTATCACGTTTCAGCCTTGGTGGCTATATAGCTTGGTGGCATTTGTTTAGCATTTCAACAGTATTGGTAGCAGCCTGTCTCTGAGGGAAGGTGGGGAGGGGAGTTACCCTCCTCCAGGGGCACTTACAGAGGCCACATGCTTAGGAGTACTTTCTTCCAGCTCTAGCTATACTCAACAAGATTGGCAGTCCTAGGCTTTAAGCTGTCATGTCTGACATGCAGCAAGAGTCTTACCGATCACAGAGGCCTCCCACCAACTGCCTTGTCTACACTTCATCACCCCGACACTCGTCCACTCTGTACTCTGGCCTGACAGTGTGATTTGTACACAGGTGTCCAGGAGGCTGTGGTGAGCTGCCTGAACAAACAGACCCGGGAGCCTGCTGATGAGAACCTGTGTGTGCCTAGCCGCCGCCCCCCGCGGCTCCTGAAATCCTGCAATTTGGATCCCTGCCCGGCAAGGTAAGGGTCATGTGGCCTGCCCTGATATCCAGGAGTGTATAGAGAGTTGGGTGCATCTTTTCATAGGCAAGACCGGAACGCTTATTGTTATCCAGTGTTTCGAAAACCAATTAGCATCACTTCAAACTTTTAGTCAAATCCACTTAAATTTAATTGAAACCAGGGCTTTGAAATTCCATCCCAATCAATGGTCATGCACAGATTCCAGAAGTCTCTATGTACTGAGTTGAGCTTCGTGGCATGGCTGGTATGTGCACGTGCCACACGGATTCTTTTCCCTAAAAGGAACACGAACTAACCACAGACTTCATGGGCTCTGCCCCCTTTTAGCCTGTGTCTCAAACGCTCACACCTAGTAACGAACTGACTTGTGAACTGCAGGGTCTAAGAAACTGAAGCCTCCAGGTGGTATAATTGATCCACTGTGAAATCTCTGTGCACACAGCATGCAGATTCATTATAGCATGCTGGGGGGGGGAGGGGAGGTATCCTTTCACATGCATAAAATCAATTAGAGCATTTCATTGTTCAGCCCTGCCTGGGTCTCATTATTACCCAGCCTCGAGTCTTTGTTAATCCAATCACTAGTTCAGCCCACACAATTTTATGGTGTCTTGAGAGATGTGCCTTATAGATACTTCTTTCTGAGCAAATCTCATCTGTGATTCTGATTTGGAAGGGAGACATTTAAAGAACTAAAACCAGAATTGCAAATCTGTTTATGGAATGAAGAATGTTGCCAGATAAGGATATATCCTAGAAATAAGGAGGAATGCTGTTTCTGAATGATAATTCATTTCTGTAAAATGAATCATGTGAGAAGCAGTGTATTGCTTTCAGGCCTTAACAGTGATTTGCTGGTCAAGTTGATGCTGTGCTTCTCTTACTTCTCAGACAACTAAATGCCTTTCTTTGAAAGTGAGAAGATACATGTTGCAGGCCTTCTGTAGTCAGGTGAAGGCACTACCCTGAAGTGACACCTGTGCTGTTCACCAGAGTCATTTGGTATATTGATCTGAACGGTGGGTCTCAGCTTCTCCCCCTCAAGTACAAAAGTTTAACTGGGCCGTTAGTGCCACATTCTCCAAAGCAACTAGAAAATCAGTCAGCCACTGCTTGGAGAAAAGTAGCCAGTAAAATAGAGTCAAGGGCTGGATCAAGGCCTGGAATACTTAGTGAACTCTTTTTCCATCCCTGTCCTCTGTGGTCCTGTATCTCTATTTTGACCTCATAGCTGTCCCGCAGGGTGAACGTAAGACCTGAGAGCGTACACAAAGTGTGCTGCTCTTCTACTGGGTCATCAGTAAAGTCATGACGCATTTTCCTGATGATGACTTAATATTTGACTATAGTTTCCTCAAATAGGAAGAAACAGAGTAGATTCAGCATAGACAATTCACAAGGCCCTTGACTAGGAAGACAGGAGATTTGGTATCTCATCCTACCTCTGTTAGTAGCCAGCTCTGTGTCCTTACAAGGAGTCTGCCTTTTTGTTTCCATAGCTACAAAGTCAACTGATTGTTTAAGATGACCTGAGTCTCCATGTTCTGCTCAAATATTCCATGATTTTTCATTACCCTGTAGGCAGAGAGACAAGCAGGCCACTCTTGCTTCTTTGTGCTGATAAAATTACAGTCATTTATTTTCTGCTGATTTACAATCATTTGAAAACAAGCAAAAGGGGCTAGCAGGTGGCATAGTGGTTAAGGAGCTGGACTCCCACGTGGTCAACTTCAGTTCAAGTCCTGGACCCAGTAGTTTAAAACTCAAACCAAGCACATGTGTGTGCATGCACAAATTCTCATTTTCTGTCTGTGTCTCATGCGACCAAATGTGCTCTATAGCAAAAATCTCTAAAAAGAAGAGAAAAAGAAAAAAATAAAGAAAAATGTTTAAAAAGAAAGAAAAGCCAAGCAGAAGGGTCTTTCTCACCACATTCCAGTGTTGTAATGCCATCCAGTACTGTGATGAGCAGAGGCAATGCTAAGGAGTCAGAATCTGTTAGCTGAAAACCTGCCGGGATTTGTGTCCACTAATGCTGCCACTTTCTTGAGCAGCAAAAGGAGTAGGAGACCAGACATTACTTCCTATTCTCAAAATACTAAGTATGGTTAAATTGTATAACCTTAATTTACTTTATGACCTTTTTTATTGATTGACTCATGAGCAAGCATGGTTTTTGGTCTTAACATTGTTGCATTTGCTCTAGATAAACTCAGTTTTTGTTTTGTTTTGTTTTAGTTTATCTATTTATTTCTTCACTAGAAGAAGAGACAGAGACACCAAGAAAGGCAGGCCCCATAACCAGGTCTTCATGCCGTGGTCCACGTCCAGCCTCAGTGAGCCCCAATTACAGACACATGAGCACAGCTGCAGTATATAGGAGGGCCTGAGGATAGAGCCCCAGGGCTTTCCCATGTAGGTGGAACATCACAGAATGTTGAATTACTGCTGCACCACCACCTGGCTCCTGGAAAGTTCTTTCATCTCCCACCAACCAACAGACTAAGAGACAATCTCTTGGTGGGCACAGCCAGAGGTTTATGGGGTTGACCTTACACACTTGAGCATTTATAGAATGATATAATTAAAATAATAAAGGGGGCCAAAATAGAGTAATCAGATATGACTCGCTCTTCATCTCCCATCTTAAAAGTAAGAAATGTAGGACCTGTCCATTGCCTGATGGTTAAGGTGATTGGCTCCCACATGACCAATTACGTGGTTGGACCCAGCAGCTTGAAAAATACACCAAGCATATGTGCATGCCCCAAATCGCAAAAGAAAGGAGAAATGGAGGAGATAGGGTTGTGGCAAACCATACCCCATGGGAGATGCTTTCTCATTTTCCCTCTGTGTGTGTGTGTGTCTCTTTCTCCAGCATGTGCATGTGCCCTTTGCAAAATATTTTAAGAAGAAAAGAAAGTAAGGAATGCATATAGTTGATAATTTATAATTCTTACTCCATACAATTCAGTGTTCACTGTACATTTTTTGGTGTGTCATCAGATAGGCCACAAGTTTCTATATACTGTCTTTTGGTTTCCATGTGCATGCTGATATCCAAGTGTTTCTTAAAAGCCATAGCATTTCCTGTGGAACATACAGAAATGATATTTCAAGCCTTGGTCCCTGGGCTTTTGTCTCTGAGAGGTAGCCTTGTAACTTCCCCAGACAATTATCAGTCCTGCTGCACACCAGTTCAGAAGCTACTTTTCTTCTTGTATGTGATCAGAGTTATCAGATCACATGCAGAATACCAAAAGTCCTGAGGGCAAGTCCTATCTGTGTGAGCAAGTCTTTCTTTCTTTTTTTTTTTTCTTTTTCTTTTTTGGGAGAGGTTTTTGCTATAGGGTGCGTGCACTCGCCAGAAAGAGAGAGACAGAGAGACTGAAAGCGAGAAATCACTTCCCAGGGGGAATGGCCACGCTGAAATCCCTTCTCCTCCATTCTCCTCTCGGGATCTTGGGCATGCACATACACGCGTCCGGCATGAGTTTAAACCATCGGGTCTGGGACTTGAACCGTGGTCTACTACATGGTAGTCCAGTGACATAGCCATTACCCTAACTGCTGGTCCCTGTATGGGCAAGTCTTTCTAAAGTTTGGCTTGGCTTCTCTGGATTTATTCTGTGATGGCAGAACTTGTGTCAGAAGCACAGATATCACTGTCAGCAGGTGTTAGGTAGATATATTCTCGTACTTGGTTCTTGGCAGCAGGAAGGATGTGTTCTCAACCTAGAAACAGTCTGAGTGTTCCAATTCATTGTGCATGTATGTGAGTAATGCCTACATTTTTTTTTTTAGAGAACTTAGAAAAAGTAGTATTTCTCCATTGAGGAGGGCTACATCTTAAAGTCCTAGCTATCAGCTTCATCCCTAACTTTTTCTCTCAGTATCATAGCAGTCATCAGTTACATGTTTGGCACACAGCAGTGCTTGAGTATTTATTGAATAAATGAGTACGAAGTAGTAGTGCCAAATTAGAAGTAGTGATATTTAGACCATATTTTAGTTTTAGTTTAGTTTTAGTTTTGGCTACAGGGTACATGTGCTCATAAGGAGGATATGTGTGTGTATGTAAGAAATCACCTCCCGGGGGGATGGCCATGGTGCAGTCCCCTCTCCTACAGTCTCCTCTCAGGAATTTGGGCATGCATGCACACACATATACCCAGCATTATTTTGAGACTGCCAAGTCTGACACTCAAACAGTACAGTCAGACAGTGGAATCCAGCACCTTAACCTCCTACGACCTGTTAGCCCTAGGCCATATTTTAATGATAGCTGGGAAGAATTCAATGCTGCTTTTCCTCTCCATCTTCCTTATTCCTTCTCTTCCATCTTCCAGATGAAGCTGAAAATGCCATTATTAGACCCCCTTCCTTAATCTTAAAGCTTTAAATACCAATTTAAAATATAAGTAGCCTAGGATCATAAACCTTTGTGTTACTGGCCACAAATGGCAAGATAGTCCCTGAGAAAGGATACAAGAGCAGGCATTAATGGAGGAGAAAGAATCAGGGAGATGGAGTAAGTTGTTAGTATTACCCAGGAGTTAACATGTCAGGAAAGTTGGAAGGTAGTAATCCCTTCATGACCTTGCCCAGACTGCCCATAAGAAATTGAACCACCAATGAGAACTTTCCATTGAAGTTGATGGCAAAGAAGTTATCATTACAGAGAAGGAAAATCATTTTAGGTGCCTTTATTGCTGAGTGTCTAGAACCCATACTATCCCACCAACCATTCAGTAGGAAGTTAGACCAGCTCTAGAGAGAAACATTCAAAAAGGTGCCAAGATGCATCATTAAGAAAGTTAGTCTCCTGTTTCCTATAAGTTTTCTAAGTGTTATCATTATACAAGTAATACATGAAATTCTCATTCATTAAAACTCAAGGGGTACAGTAATAAAACACATTGCTCTGAGAGACTGAACCATGTGGGAAGGTTCCAAGCTTTTGTCGAAGACCCCCCACCCCTCGTCCCGCTCCCGGG